AGGGACTCGTAGGTCGTCCCGGAGAGGAATGCGCGGATGATGTCTGCGTCAACGACATCAGGGAGGGAGTTGCATCGTTGGGAGAACCTACGGATGTAATCCCGCAGGGACTCGCTGGGCTCCTGCTGGTAGCTCTTGAGGTCCTAGGGGTTTCCATGGCGGACATACGTCCCTAGAAAATTTTCGATGAAGACCCTCTTGAGGTCCGCCCTGTCGTGGATGCTGTGTGCAGGAGGAATTCAAGCCATGCCCGAACATGTTCCCCCACGCAGATGAGAAGATACTGAATGATGAAATAGTCATCATCCACTCCTCCGCATGGCAGGCGAGCCAGAAGTCTTTGAGCCAAATACCGGGGTTTGTCTCCCCGGTGTATTTGGTGACATTGGTGGGTGGTCGGAAGCGTTGTGGGAACGACATTCTCTGGATACGTCGGTCAAAGGTCGTGGTCCTAGGCCCTCAGGGCTGGGACTCCGGTCGTTTGGATGACGACCGTGCCTGGGGCGCGTTTCACTGCTCCCCTTGATGGTTTGGCCAGGACCCACGTCGCCCGCCCTCATTGTCGCTCGGTGGTCGTCATCATCATGCCGGGCTCGATGCCGGTTGCTGATGATGCTACGAGCATCTTGGTGTGGACCAGGCCATCCGTGCAATGGTGGTCGGTGTAGAGCAGGTGCCAGGTCAGACCGTGGTGCGGCCGCTGCCTCCCGAGCCACACTTGGCGACCATAGCGGCAAGCGGACGGAGCGATCCGTCTGGCGCGTCCCTACTCCCCCGGTGGGGATAGAGGGCGCGTGTTGAAGTCGCGATGCGGAGCTTTCCACCTGTTGAACGGCGGTGGCTTCTACCAGCACTTGGAGGTTCCGGTAGACCGCCCGCTCCTGGGGGTCGACGGGCTCAGGAACGCCGCGTAGAAGCATCGCCGCAACAGCGATATTCTGGCTAGCCCGAGCGAACTGTGGGGGATCATTCCCCTCGTTTATGATGTCGTGTTGGACCTGGCGGGCATGACCTCGAGCACGCCAGTACAGGCAGCGGCTGGTTCTACTGCCGTTGTCATAGTTCCTCGACGTGTCCTTGCGCAGACACGAGGGCCCCCGTACGCGGGGTCCGGAGGGGTGTGAATTTGCATAGACTCCACAACCACCGGCGGCTGTCCTGGAGTGTCCGCCATAGCGCACTCCCGGGACGGACGTTGGCGAGGTGCCACATCATCGATGCTAGAGCCATCACTCTCTCCCTCATCATCTGGGAGTTCGTGGAAAGTGGTAGGAGTATAGCTCGCCATTCCCACGAATTTGGACATGAGAGGGGATGGCGCCAGCATCCTTCGGAGCCCCCGAGCGTACGCGTCCATGGGGAACGCGAGGCCGTAGGGGAACCGATCGTACGGTGTTCGTGGTGCGGTCAATACGGTCCCTCTGGATAATCGGTGGGAGATAGTAAATAGAGAGTAAATAACAGTATGCATATTACTCACAGCGGGGTTTGAGCAGAGAGTTTGCTCGGAATGAAGCGCAGATGCCGCGTCGTTGAAGTCATCGTGCATCCCAGAGCCGATGGAGGGCGCCCCTCCGATGGGCGTCGGAACGAGTGCGTCCTCGTGGAGGTGTAGTACGCCGAGCCGGTCGGCGATAAAGTCCAGGCTTCCGAGGAGGAAGGCCTGGGATGGCTCGAAGACGGGTGGAACCCACATCCCAATAGGTGGGAGTGCCGGAAACTGCAATGAGCCAAAGCGAATTATATCACTTGGGCCCGCCACGGCGAGGGTGGCGAAAAAATGGGCCATCCGATGACCAAAAGTGTTGAACGTACAACGTCTTCCCCACGGATGGCGCCAACTATCGGTGCAGAAAGTGACCAACAAGTAAATATTTATAGTTTTGCCGTACATTGTGATCGAAGGTGGCCTAGCACTCAATGACATAAAGTTTATACTGGTTCAGGCAACGTGCCATACATCCAGTTTGAGTCGGTCGGTGACTTTATTCCTGAGCCCAGGTGCTCGAAGTTTATAGTGGGGTTACAAACGAGAAGGAGAAAGATGGGGGTACAAGAGGTCTGGTCGAACTCCGGTCGGAAGGGCCAAGAGTGACAGGAGCCCCACTATGAGCTAAGTGTTCAAGCGTGTGCTTGAAGTTCGAACCTAGCGGTTCTGTGATTGTGAGCTAGCGAACTTGATCGATATGATGAATCTGGAATGACTTGGATGAACCTGAATGAATCTCCATGTTGGGAGAGAGTGCATCACCTTTTATAGATGAAGGGATGGCATTACAAGTGAGAGGGAGAGAGTACGTATGCTTCTAAGCCTTGCTGCTCATGCCAGCGGGTATAGGATGATGGTAGGTGCCCACAGCACTGTTGAGTGTTAGATGCATGTGGGAGGTCGCGTTGTCTTCTTTAGGTATGGCAGATGTCGGCACCTGTTATACTGTTGATGCCCAGAGGCATGTGAGGGGTTTTACCATGTTCGTCCGGTACGATAAAAGCCGGCGCCCATAACACTATCGATGCCTAGAGGCATGTGGGGAGAGCCTTACCGTATGGGAGTTAATGACACCCACAACACTATAGGGGAAAATGTCGGCGCCTACAACACTTTTTGGGCTCTGTCGTGCCAGGGAGGTTGCAGAGTACTGTTTCTGTAGGTGCACAGGGTACGGTCCCTAGTATTGTGGTTTGACTTGTGCGCTCTGTCTTACTTTCTCCGTCCATTTCCTGGTCTCTACCGAACGGGCGTCCCCGGTCCATGGGTTCCAGTCGGCTCTGATCACGACAGTTGGACAAGAACAGTGAGCAGGGTTCGATGCACCCCCGGTCGGAGACACGGGTCAGAGTCAGAAGTGGTGTTTGGCCAAGCCTTCCGGTCAGAGAGGCTGTCCGAAGGCGGGCTGGAGATAGAAGCGAGTGCTTCGGTCGGAGAGGCGGGCCGGAGTCAGAGACGGACGCCGTTCCTCCTCGGCCAGGCCTTTCGATCGGTGATTGGATCATCCTTCTGGCATGTCGTTCAGGTACTTGGGCCGGCTCATGAGTTGCACGTTTGTTTGCAACATTGTTTGCTAGGCCGAGCCTTTGTTGGGAAGCCGGTCTATGAGGGACCCCGGGTTTATGAACCCGACAGCTTCCATCTCGAAGCTAGGACCTTTGAACCGAGGAAACTTTTTGAGCGATTTGATGGATGTCATATTATTGTCTTGATGGCAGGTTATGATTGGAAGCAGCAACGCAACAAGCCCAGGTGAGTACTTTTGCACTCAAATGCCCTGTTCGCTTGGCTGAAAAGCCATGGGTGAAAGTATTGTTGGTTGATTTGTTGTAAGAGAAAAATACTATTCGTTGGTTGAAAATGCTTTGACTTTTATATTTTACTCAATTGTTCAAATTCAATCAATCAATCTATCAATCTATCCATCTATTTATCTATCTATTTATTCCACTCTAAAATGCTTATACGGGGTCTTTTGACTAGGTACATGTAAGGGAGCTCGAGGACGAAGTGAAGATGCTTATGAACCTCTCCCACCCCAATATTGTTGTAAGCACATTGTCATCTTAACATTGTTAGCCTTTTTTTGCTGTGGTGTTTGGTCAATGCAGTGTTGTTTGATCAGAGGTATATTGGGTTGGTGCGGGAGGAAAACACACTAAATATTTTGCTGCAATTTGTTCCTGGAGGCTCCATTCGGTCACTTCGTGGGAGGCTTTTATCATTCCCCGAGGCTGTAAGCATTACATATTCTGCTTGGACTGTTACTTTGATGTACTTTGATGAGTTGACCAGTGAAGAGTATTTTTTGATTCAATTTATTTCTTTATCAGGTCATCAGAAAATATACTAAACGGTTTTTGTATGGACGGGAATATTTGCATCACAATGGAATCATACATAGGGATATAAAGGCAAAAAAAATCTGCCTGCTATACGAACCGTGTCCGCAAATGCTTCTAATGATGTGGCTTATTTTGTCATATTCCAGGGTGCAAATGTACTTGTTGATAACAAAGGTTGCTTTGATAGTTTGTTATCTGTTTTGAGATTGATGGCTTGCTTTGATCTCAGTAGTAAATGGGCTGTAGAATTTTTCATTAAAAGTGTTCTCGATCCTTTTCATTGCATCTTAGCTTAGACTAAAGTAAGCATGTGAAAGTATTTGAAAGCTACATGAAACTCCATAACTTATGAATGACATTCTTGTTTTATCTATATATTTAATTGACTAATGTTCCTTTGACTTCGGCTTCAATGATCTTTCATTTGTTGCTCGCAGCAATATTTGTTGAGTATGAAGGCAAGAACTCTTTTGATGGGCCCAGCAAAGGGTTCTCAAACTATTAACAAGACCATAGTAAAAATGATATGAAGATCAACAACAACATGTGGACATCGTGGCACGGCACAGCTCCCTATGCCGTGGGTTGACCGAGCAGCAGCGGTGGCTGGGAGCATGGAGCATAGAGACCAACAAAATAACAATGCAAATGATAATTATGTACAATGACATGAATACATTAGTGATACAAATAATTATGTGCTTAGAAAAATACTGAATTTTTAAATTAAATGTCACTTTAACGTCGATAATTAATTTTACAGTATTATTATCTTATCGTACAATCCGTGTGTTTTTAGTATAAAAGTTTAGTCGTCCTGCGTACGGACACCTAAAAAGAAAAACAGTTCGGCCGAGTGGCGACATCCGAGACCAGTGCGTGGCCCACACCCACACGACCGTTGGGCGCGCCGGTCCGGCCCACCTTTAAAAGCCCCGTCCACCGCCGTTCGTCCACCCACCAGAGCCGGTCGATCCGTTCGAAAACGCTCCGGAAAGACCCCACGACTTCTCCCATCTCCCATTCCCACACCGCACTGCGCCGCCGACGGTGCACTAGCCGTTGCTTCTCCCCATCCCTTCCGTTCCCATTTCCAAGGAGTTATCCTCACCGGCGGATCCGGGGCGCCGCCGCAAGAGGAGGAAGGAGGAGGAGAGGATACCAGAATGGCGTCGCGGACGGCGTCCAAGGATATCATCACGCTGCGAGGCTCCGCCGCCATCGTCAGCGAGTTCTTCGGTACGCACGCGCCGCCCTCCCCCTCTCCTGATTGCTAGTTGCTTGCGCCCATCGGGTGTTTGACGAAATGCTTCGGTTCGCATCGCAGGATACGCGGCGAATAGGTACAGTACAGTCTACAGTGTCCGGCAGACGACGGCGGCATCGGTGCCGATCCATCAGGGATTAGACCAGTGAGGAGGGTTCGGGGTTTTGTATTGACTGATTGATCCGGTTCCGTTTGGTTTTTGGTGGATTGCAGCATCCTCTACAACCGCGCGGTGTACCCGGAGGAGAGCTTCACCAAGGTGAAGAAGTACGGGCTCACCATGCTGCTCACTCAGGACGAGGGGGTGAAGAACTTCATCGCCAGCCTCACCTCCCAGCTCTCAGGTCGGTTTCCTCGCACCCACCTGAGATAGATCTCTCCTTCCTTGATCGCTCGCGAACTGAATGTTGCAGAGTTGCTGGAGGTCTTGTGCTGATTGGTTTTGTGTCTCTGAAACTCAATGTTGCAGAGTGGCTGGAGGCCGGGAAGCTGCAGCGGATTGTGCTGGTGATAATGAGCAAAGCCACCAGCGAGGTTCTCGAGCGATGGAACTTCAACATCGTCACTGACGCCGAGGTCGTCGAGAAGGGGTGCGTCACACACTACCTTATCCCCATCTTCACCCTCTTCCTGCGACCCTAGCCAGTCCAAAGTAGCCGGTGCGCATTGTGTCAGTCATGGCTTGATTGTGCGTCTTCTTCTGATGTTCGTCAGGGCCATCAAGGAGAAGAGCGACAAGGAGATCATGAGGGAGATTCAGGCCATCATGCGCCAGATCGCCTCCTGCATCACCTACCTCCCCTGCCTCGACGAGCCATGTAAGGACAGCAGCCGGCAACCAATCGCCTAATTGACCTTCCTCTCCTGTATTTCGGCCTCCTTTTGGAACTGGGGCTGCAAGTCTGCAACTGCAACCGTGGCTGACTCTCTCGTCTCCTGCCCTCCCGCGTCGGGCTGATCAGGCGTGTTCGACGTGCTGGCCTACACGGACACGGACGTCGACGCTCCGGGCACCTGGGTCGAGAGCGACGCCAAACTCATCGACAACCCGCAGATGATTAAGCTACACTCCTTCGACACGAAGGTATGTCCACGCAGCAGACGCATTTATCTGTTCGGTATCAGTATCATCACCGATCTGGTTCTCGACTGGATTGCTAATTCACAGTTCCTGTGCTGGAGTGGGGCAGATTCATAAGGTGGACACGCTGGTGTCGTACAAGAAGGACGAGTGGGACGAGGAGTGAAGTTCCTGAGCACCAAGTACCCCGTTATTGCTAGAGCTTGGCGTGAAGGCAGTGTGAATAGGCGTGAAGGCAGTGTGAATCGTTCATTCACGTCTAGTATACTGCTACTGCTACTTTGGGTAGAGAAAAGTATGAGATGTGCTCCTACCATGTTGCGATTCTTGTGTGTTCCCCTGAAATCTCTGGAGCCCCGGAAGCTATGTAATTCTGGGTTTGAAATGCGACCATTTGCGATCTTTTTAGATGCTATTTTAACTTTTATATAATGTAACATGTCACTGACAAGCGCCAGTGCGATATAACAACTATCTTCCCCGTTTACATTCCCTGGTCACGCTGGAAACTGAGAAACAAGTACAGTATTGCAGAGTACATTGGCTTCACTTGCACATTCAGATTTACTGCAAGGAATCGTAGAACAATCTAGTTATCTGGAGGAGCAATCTTCCCCGTTTACATTCCCTGGTCACGCTGGAAACTGAGAAACAAGTACAGTATTGCAGAGTACATTGGCTTCACTTGCACATTCAGATTTACTGCAAGGAATCGTAGAACAATCTAGTTATCTGGAGGATCATTCGCTGCAACACTCCAATTGTACATTTATACATTCTAGTTACCAATGTCAGCTACATTTACATATATATCCGAGAATAACGGATGGCCTGACTTAAAATTACACTAAATGGCAGTGCTAGCAATTCCACTTCGACACGATGCCTTGCCCATGGAAGATGATGCAAAAATCAATCACCAGGCGACCGCAGCCCCTGATACATCACACCAGGTCGGAGATCATCAAGGCTATCGACGTTTCTATAGCCTCCATACTCCCGGAGAAATGTCCAACCACGCCGTGAGAGGAAATCTCGAAAGTCCTCTTCAGTGTAAAATGTCTTGTCTTCTGGCGTCTGCATGCGGTTTCCATCACAGAGTTTGATTGTCATCCCTGAAAAAAAGGATAACCCCAAACTTCAGTAGTTAAATGAAAAGCCTCTCGAGTGATAAAGCCCTGTGGATTGTCCCCGTGTCTGGCCAAACAACAGTTGGAGAAAGTAATGTCAATGACATTGTACTTTTGTAACCTCATGTACTAATCTCATCCATGCACACAATTTTTAGGAGTCTATGTTCTATTATCCATGCGGAAAAGGAGTTTGAAAATAAAACAAAGTATTACTATGTAGTGATTGACTAGTTGCCCATGATATTCTATGTTCTAATTTTCACATTTCCCTTAACAGGGCATAACATCACTACATCCATCTACAAATCTAGTTATTCATAAAGTAAAGAATTTAATTGTATGGATAAGAAGAGAGTTTACAGGTACCATCATCAAGATTAAGTGTGTATGTTCCAACTGGCATGTCCCTGTCCAAGGCTCGAACAACCTCATCTTCATCTTCAAGCCAGAAAGCACGCCTTGTTCTTAATCCAAATGCTGATTTGATGGCTTCCTTAATTGCTTCAGGAGTACCATCAATTCCAATCCTTTTAGTGTAATCACCCCACTTCACTAAAATGACTCTCCCACCAAAACTGCCATGATTATCTCCACCTGTATGTATTTATGCAGAATTCCAATAGGAACAATAAATTAAACCAAAAAATACTTTAAAAAAAACTTGCACTGAACTACCCAGTTTTGAAAATGGCTGCTAGAATTCAGTTTTGTATAATTTAAGTAAGAGCTACCCAATGTTAAGCACTTTGAAGGAAACAGAATCTTAAAATACAAATTAGAAGAGTGTTTATCCCTCTAGGTAGTTGATTTATGACCTCTGATGTACTCCGTTCCAAATTATAAGCCGCTTTGGCTTTTCTAGGTACATAATTTTTGCTATGCACCTAATATAGGGTATGTTTAGATTCATAACAAAAATCATGTACCTAGAAAAGCTAAAACGACTTATAATTTGGAACGAAGGAGTAGAAGTTTGAATGAGAGCAGTTAGTACACAGAAAGTTACAGGTCCCTATCACCTGACAAGAACTATAGCAATGAAGATCATAGGTAAATCTAAGATAGTAAGATCTGAACTAAGGTTTGGTCAAAGTTGAGGAGCTTCAAAACCTTTTGTTTCCATACGGTTTAACAGAACAGGGGGCTAAACTGAATTTAGTTCATACACCACACAGTGAGATAGCAATAATTCAAATTATACCAATTTATCAGCAGTGAGAAGTTAAGAGGCTACTCATTCAGAGGTATTAATTTAACTTGTGATGTGAAGATTAGTACCATTAGTAGAGGTGTCTCTCCAATTCCACGGGTTCACACCATTGGTTGCAACTGCATCAGCAGCTGTCAAGGTAAGCGGATGCCTGTCATCCTCCAAACGATCATCGATACTCAGTATTGGTCTACCATTTGCTAGAAATCATGAAAGGGTATAGTCAACAACAAATTTGCATAGTCACCACATGAATTCAATTAAGAAATAGGTCGTGATTGTTACACACGTAGGAGCTCAGTACCTTCCACAGGACCAAAGGGAATGTTAGCATCCTCAAAGCCTAGATTGAATACAGAGAATATTAGTCCATGAGCTAACAAAAAAAATACTGCAACCAAAAAACAAATAAAGCACAGAGTCCAACAGCCAGAAAGCATGATAACAAACTATTATTAATGGAGCAGGTAACTGAGACATATGAAAGTATGAAACCACACACCATATAACCCCTAAAGCTACCAGACATTGACACCCTACGTCCCAACAGTCACCACACTCTCAAATTGCTCGATAAGCTTGAACAATTTAACAAACCTTATAATTTGGGCACATCTAAATACCAATGGTTCGCCATAGCATACACCCAAAATCGTTATCAAAATAGCTGATTTGTATCCAAAACCCAAAGCTTTGCATTTTCAAAATCTCTTATGTGGAATTCAAGACATGTCTAGTAATCGTTTCATCTAGCAAAGCATGACAATCTTATCTCTATAATAACAGAGGCCAACCGTTATCTGTGGTGAACTGCAGGTAGGACTCGATCTTGGAATTGGATGTGGGGCTCTTCCCGGCAGCACCACTGCCAACGCAGCCGCCACTGCCGCTTCCCGTCGCCTTCCCGCGGCGCTTGAGCAGGTCGTCGATCTCCTTGTAGTACGCCATCTTGGCGTTGCCGTTCCCTCCAGCGCCGGAGCCGCCACCGCTGCTCCGAGAGTGGCTGCGCGCCTTCTTGAACTCCTTGAGAAGGTTGCGCCACTTGTCGGTGCACATGGTCGGGGAGCGGTCGAACCCTTGGTCCCGCATCCGGGCGGAGATGGCCTCCCAAAGGTGCTTGTTGGACTTGGAGGTGTTGAAGTGGGCGTCCATTTCCCGGCGCAGCGCGATGAGGCAGAGGGTCTCCTCACGGACCCAGGTCTCCGCGCGCCTCTTCGGCGCCGATCCCGCCGCTGCCGCCGCGCGGGAGGAGGAATCGTGGCCGCCGTCCTCGCCGCTGCTCTCCGGGAGGAGCAGCGGTGGGGTGGGCGCCGCCGGCGGCCCGGAGAGGAGCATGGCCGCGGCGGCGCGGGCAGGACGGGGGGGGGGGGGGGGTGAGGGAGGCTGGTGCCTGGTGGCGCTTGGGGTTTCGGAGTGGCAGTGTGCTGTGACCTGTGAGAGGGAGGCGAACTGTGGTGTGGTGTGTTGGTGAGGGGACTGGGAAGCGGCGATGGGGGCCGCTGCCCGACGGGCAGGATCGGGGACGACGGGGCCCCGACACGAGCAACATACGGGTAGGGCAACCCGGCCCACCCGTATGGCCCTCTGCCGGTCTGCCCCTTTTTGCTCCGATGAAGTGTTGGCTCCGGCTTAGGAGTAGCTCAAGAAGTCAAAGCAAAGCGGCCTTTGCTGCTGATTTCCAGAATATGCCCATCAACTAATTGTTATGTTTGATCTGATATCTAGAAGATGTAAATGATAGATTGACAAAATAAGGTATTGTCTCTCTCCGCTCTCGGTACTTTCTAGCTATTTCAGATTCAGATGGTCCAAAACTACGACATGCATCTACACCATCAGAATTTACAAATCAGAAGTTGGAGGCACTAAACTAAAATAAATTCAGGAACAAAGAAGATGTAGAGATCACCAAAATGACAGTTATCTCGAAGGCCAGCGGCTTTATCACTATCATGTAGTCATAGGTTGAGTATCCAACCGCATCGAGCTAATTGTCCCAAGCCAAGCCATGTCATGATTTGCTAGCCTGAAAATGCTCTAAAAGGGACTTCAACCAAACAGAGTTCTATCCCACTAATGATGGAAGAAAACTATTCGCCCGTGCAAAGGTGTAGCCGCACATCTTCAGCCTGTTCGGTTGGCTGGTTCATATCGTTGTTGGTTTGTGAAGAAGTACTGCTGGCTGATTTGTGTGAGAGAAAAATACTGTTCCGGCTAAAATTTACAATCGTTTATGACAAGCCACAGCCAAACAAACAGGCTGCTCGTCATAATAGCGTTTGACATCTTGACAAGTAGCCACACATAGTTAATGTTCTTTGGTGGGCGGTCAGTGTAAGCCTCAGTCTCTAAAGCATCATGTCACAAGTTGCTAGTCTACCACAAAATGCTCTAACATGGATTCACTCGACACGGGTGGCCACACACATCTTATTTTTCCTATGCATCAGGTAGTGCCGATAGGAAGTTTTGTTCCAACATTTGCATCCATCCAGTGACTTTCTCTCTATTGACGTTGAGATACCCTATGTAATACGGGTGGATAACTGGCCAACTATATTTTTTTAGCTTTTTCAGATTTGGCATAATCTTATTTATCATACTCTCCTAAATTGTCTGAGACTCAACTTCAAACCGAGCTTAAGAACCGAGCCGAAGTCGAAATTCACTTAAAATAAAAACAATTTTATTTAAAAAAAAATGAGTTTAATCAGAGTGATTTTGAAACAGCCAGCTTAACGAGCTTTTGTCCCACTCTGTATGTAAGGTCAGACAACAATCACTAACTTAGAAGTAAAATTGTTGATAAAAAACCAAAAAAAATTGGCATGCGCCAGAACTACCTCGACCTAAGCCTGACTCGACTATTGATTTAGTATTTTTAGGGTTTCATTCAGGTCAAAATTATAGACCCAAGTCAATTGAATAGACTCAAGAAAATCTTGGCCCAAGCCTACGCTTTGAATTAGTCGAGTTGGGCTATTTTTTGAGTGGGTCGTATCACGTTTGCCTGCCGAATAACCCATGATCATGTTTGTTTGGAAGCAACACTCAGCACTTGAAGCAACGTGTGGCATGGCAATAAGATGCGATCTCTCATTTAATTGTATAATATTGTAATCATCGTTTAAAACTAGACTAATCAATTAATTTGATCTAATAACAATATTTACAAACTGATGAAGTACCGTAAAGAAAATTGCGATGACCGAAACTGTTGGTTGACCCAACCACGAGGGACGCCAGGGACGCACACTTCACAAAATTATAAGCCTTACTAGAAGCAGCGTGGGCTGAATTGAAACGGGCCGTCAATGGGGGAAGCTGGGAGTGGAAGCACCAGGGATGCGTGCACCTGTGGCCGTGGGAGGCCCCCGTCCCCGCGTCACTGTCTCGGCGGCGGTGCACCGTGCACCCACTCGCTGAACCAGTGAACCACCCAACGTCGTACTCCTACGACCGAAGCCTACCTTTCGTGCCGGCCAAGCGGCTACGGAACCTCCCTGGCCCCTGCGGCCGAAGGGTTCGTTCCGTGCCGGCCAAGCCGCTGCGCGCGCTGCTCTGCTCCCGCCGTGCCGCGACGGACACGCAGCGCGCGCGTGCGTCAGCGCTTACAGAGGCGGCCACTCTTTTACCCGTTCTTCTGCCGAGAGCAGGGTGCTTCGCCGCCAAGGCATCCGCGGCCGGGACAGACAAGCACCTTTGACTTGCGAGAGGACTCAAGGCGGGCGACCGGGCGTGCGTGCGCCCAGCGTGGAAAAGCGCCTTTTGCGCCTGCAGTTACCGCGCCTTTTCTCTTCTTTGGACAAACCGGTGCCACCGAACCCGAAATCGAAGATCTCACTGTCTACTCCTTCTCCAAGGACAGCGTCCACATCACACTGCAACTAAGGTGGTGTTTGCGCATGTAATAGACTAATTACAAAACTAATTGTATAATTTACAACTAATTTACGAGATAAATCTTTTAAAGCTAATTAGTTAATGATCCGACAACGTGGTGCTACAGTAACAACGTGCTAATAGCGGATTAATTAGGCTTAAAAATTCATCTCATGAAGACTGACGGATTATGTAATTTATTTTTTTATTAATATCTGAACACCCCATATAATATTTTTCGACACATCTCCTAAACTTTAGCTACGCCTAACTAGACAGCGTGAATCTCACGAGCCAATGAAACAACACACTTTATATGGACGTCGTCTTCCGTCTACTAATCGTGTTTAGTTTACTGGTGTTGCTTATCGCTGATGTGTGATGTGACGATGTCTTCGGCCTCCAAACTGCTGCTGGTAGAGAGACAGAGCATTAGCCCCCGTAAACTGATGTCCTGTTCGTTTAACTTGATTTGGCTTATAAATTATAACTTGAAAATATCGTTTGGCTTAATTTAAATGTGAAAAAAAATAATATTCATTGACCGATAAACCATGACTTAAAAGCCAAAGCAAACAGGCCGTAACAGAGCCGGACCATCAAACAACTACACGACACGGAGAGCCTGACCCCCTGAAAGGATGGAACCTGTTCACCACGTCCCCCGTGCACCACCGCGCTGTTTTCTGCCTGCGGCCGGTGCCCGTGAGGCGCAGCAGGCCGCCTTATCGGCCGCGATCCAGCGCCGCCCGCCCGGCGTCACGGCGGCTCCACGTGTGGCCGGCGGGGAACACGTGTAAGGAGCAGCGCCCAACAACCTCTCCTCACGGCTCCCGCTCTATCCATGTGTCCATCCACTGATCCATGAATAAACGCACGCCCGCGGCCTGTGGTCCCGGGCTCGCTGCTGTCGCTCCGCTGTCAGCCTGTCACGTACTCTCCCATCCGACGTTTGGCGTGCGCGGGGACAGCGTTGCGTCAGCGGGTGACCCGCGCGTCAGTCTCCTCGACTCGTGTCAGCGTTTGGCCCCCACGCGTCAGGGCGCGGGGACCGGGTGGTATGGAAGTGTGAACCGGGAGATGCGGAATTGCGGATGGAGGGAAGGAACGGGCGGCAAATGGATGGCAACTTTGCAGATAACCCCCGGACTCTGATGAAAACACGGGTTGTGTGTGAAGAGGTGGGAGATTATATTGCCGGGGCTTGGAGGGATTGATGTGTCCATTCCTGTAACAACTTTATTTATCCTCATAGAAACAATAAAACAAATAGGATTTATCATTTGTCCGTAAATTTTATGTCGTCTTCATGGCCATAACCCCCAACCATTCTAATTCTCCGCGATCCTAACCTTTTTAATTCTTCGTGTCCTTCGACGCCGCCGGCTTATCATGACCGTTATATATATATTTAGGGCTTTTCCCCTGATTTTCTTTCGACGGTACTGTGGCCATAACCCCAACCTTTCTAATTGTCTGCATCCTTTAGCGTCGCCGGCTTATCATAGTTGTTATAGATGTTTTTATGGCTTTTTTCCTGTGTTTTCTTTCGGTGCGTCCGTTTCACTAAATCCGTTATAAATATGCCAGCGGTGCCACGGTAGTAACCTAGCCTTTTCGTCCCCCTTCTTCTTCCTTTGGCGCTGCCGGCTTACTGCACAATAAAAACCTAGCCTTTGCACCCTTCTTCTTCCTCTGGCGTCATCGATTTTATCGAGACCGCTGGTAGTAACCCTAGCCTTTCCAATTTTCACATCTCTTCTTCCTCTGGCACCGTCGACTTGAAGAGGGGGCTATAAATGTTCCGGCGGCACTTACAGTATTAACCCTAATCTTATCACTTTTCTTTCTCCAAACGTCGACTTATTGAAGATTCCTTTTGTTCTTCTGTCCTACCGCTTTTGTGTTTCATTATGGATGGTGGCACAACAATCAGCGTATCCACTGTTCATCAGTTCTAGCTTAATCGTTGGTCTTATCCGCCATCTTTTGCTCGGCTACCTCTTTTCCATACCGCCCGAGGATTTAAGAAAGATGGACAACAGATTTAGAAAGAGAATCAGATCTGGACAAACTAGAGGAAACATAATGCTCAGTCTCATGTGTAAAAGGTATGTTCCCATCTAACTACTTCATTTTTGCAAGTGCTTGTAAAACTTTGGGGAGAAGAGATGAAGCTGACTAATCTTTTGGAAGAAAAAATACATCTATGCTTGCACAAAATGTTCACTTGCACCATTTGATATTCCACTTCATCTCAGATAGATAAGGTGTCTTTGTTATTGATTTTTTATAGGTGTTATTTTTTTGGGAGGGGGTGATTCAACCTTTATATATATATCAATTAAATTCCTTTTGGATCCAGACTCTTCCGCGGCATCTAGATGGCCATGAATTTAGAATTGTCATTTTCACCGTGGAAACGCATTCACGCTCTTTGATCGCCTTCCAAGTATGCAGATATGCAAAATTATGCCCGGAGAGTTTCCAAATAGCAAAACCGCGCCGCAATCCAACCCTCTCTCGCCTCGCGCGGTCCGCCTCCACCAGCCTCACCGTTACCCCAACGGCGCGAGAATCCGCGCGCGGCGGCCGCGGGCGCGGGCTCGGGCGGGCGGGGCATCTCCAGGAAATCCCCCGTTCGGACGGGAGGAAATCCCCCACCAGAACGCAAAGAAAAGGCGAGTTAGAAAAAACAGATCGCGTTAGCCTAGCCAGCTGCTGCCCCGGCCCCCACCAGAGCAGAGGCCGCCACACCATCCCGTCCCTTTCCCACCCCTCCTTCTCCTCCGCTCCCCTCGCGCGGCGCGGAAGAAGGCCAAGGGGGGACGGCAGGAAGGAAGAGGAGGCTTCGAGATTTTTGCGGAACCCCCACGCCACCCCTCTCCACCACCACCACCACCACCTTCTCCTCATAGCCTGCCTCCCGCGTAGGGTTTGCGCGCGCCACCGTCTCCACTTCAATCCCAGCACCACCCGTCCTACCGCCGCCGCATTTGGAGCTCTGCATCTGCCTGCAGCCCGATTCGCCAATCGCCACCGGCCTCCTTGCCGTACCGGTTTGGGGATTTCGGTTTCCCTTTCCCACTGTTACTGTTGCTGGTTGTATCGGGGATCTGGGAGGAGTGTTTGTTTTGGTGCTGATTGTTTCTGGCGATTTGGGCGTGATTATCCAGGCTGAGTGGTGTTGGTGATGTCGGGTGATTAGATTTGGGGTGGATTGGTAGAAGGGGTTCGGGATATTATTTTTTTGTTTGGGCGCCTAGCTTATCTGCTATTGGATTGGGATCCATGATCGAGACTGCTCCGTGAAGTTTTTGGTCCTAGGGATTGTGTGTTTTTGATCGGCCCGGACCAGGAATAGAGGGTTCTCTTGAGGAGATCTAGGTTCGCGCGTTCTATCGTCCTCTGTAGATAAAAAAAAAATCAAAAAAAAAAGAAAAAGAAAAAAAAAGAGAAAAAAGAGAGCGAGAGATAGAGGAGGTAGTAGAAAGGAGGTTGGAGGCTATGGCGCTGAATTGCTCGTCACGCTCGCTCCTGGTGACCGATGATTGTGCCGGCATGATGCTTGGTTGTGGGTGTCGGTCGGAGGAGGCCTCCCCTCTGTCATCCTGTGGGGTGAATTCGCTGTGGTGGGATGAGCTGGAGATGGAGATGGAGCTGGAGCTGGAGGAGGAGGTGGTGGAGTCGGATCCTGTGGATCTCTTACCCACGGACCCTTTTGGGATGAACCTGGAGACTACATTCACCGCCGCGATTGCCAGTTGCATTGGGGACCTCACAGTCATGTCTGGTGCTGGGCATTTTGGAAGCGGTGACGATGATGATTTCTATGCCGACCTGAGTTATTACTTGAATCAGGCTTTTGTGCTCACTCCAGAGCCATGGAGTGGTGACTATACCGGTGTTTTTGAGGATTCTTTTGTATGTGGAGACCTCTCAGGTGCTGGAGGCATGGAACAGTTTTCACGGTTGCCTCCTAGTGCATCCTGCTCAGAGCCTATTGGGGTCACAGAGGACCCATCTAGCTCTTGTGACACAGCCTTTCCATGCTGTGATATGGTTGATGTTGCTCCTGTCCAGGAGGGAAATGATGCACATGAAGCAATGGTGTTTGTTCTGAGCTATCTTGGTTTACGTGACATCCTCTCTGTTGAGATGGTGTGCAAGTCACTGCGTTCAGCTGTCCGGAACGAACCCTTTTTATGGAAATGCATCCATATTGACTCGCACTTGGGCAAGAAGGTGTCTGATGCTGATCTTCTTTGCGTGACACAGAAGTCCCCGGGTTCTGTGCAGTGCCTGAGTCTTATGGGCTGTCTAAGCATCACAGATCAGGGATTGAAAGCTGTTTTAGAGAGTAATCTACAGTTAACAAAGGTTAGTATGGTGTAATCTATAGGAATCTGTTTTATTCATGATACATCTCCATAGGAATCTAGTTTTTATCTTATGATATTCTTGGCAATCCAATGTTATAATGTTATATTGCTATTCCATCTTATATGATTGTTATTGTCTTGAAAAGATTCTACATTGTTGTTGAATTCATGCTTCTGATAGCTCTAGATACATTTTCAGTACTTACAGCTCTGAGCATCCAGCCAATGTTACTGGGTGCTAATATACGTTTGTGGAACATGGCTGCTACCTTGGCTACTCTCTGTTTGGATCTATGAGATGAACTGAAAACTTAGATTTTACATATTTTTTCATTTAGCTAATTTCATTCATTTGTCTATATAATATTTGCCAGACCACAAACTCGAATGCAAACTAATTAGATAGGACTACATACTTGCACTTACCTTGATAATATTGCATGTTTTTGCAGCAGAATACAAAGAAGGATTAGTTATTTTTCAACTAAAGCTTAGGATTTTTTTTTCACATGAATTTTTATTTGCTTTACAGTATTTCCGTTTTGTTGCAATAGCAGTTGAACTGGTATGAAAAACTTGTGCTACCAGTTTTGGCAATCCACAATTCTCCATTTACTTAACCGCCTCTTGTCTCTTTATTTTTTTGATACAGTTGGGCATTTTTGGTGCTTTCCGGATTACTCATCAAGGTCTTATTGACAATCTGAGGTCATTTAATATGAAAGCAGATATTGGTATCAAGAAACTAAGAGTTACAAATCGTGTCACTGCATCAGAAGCGCAATATGAAGAGTTGTTATCCTTGATGAAAATAGACAAGGAGCTGGCAATACACAAACAGGAGCCTCGGATCTTTCATGCTGATCGTCTTTTACCAGATCTTCATGGTGGATATGTTCCCGATTCTTTCGTACCAGATCTTCATGGTGAATATGCTCTTGATATTGAGAAGTGCCCTCTTTGTCCGAACTACAAGCTTGTTTATGATTGCCCATCAAAAGAATGCAAGACCAGCGGACCTAGTACTTGCAGAGGGTGTGTTGTTTGCATCTCGAGATGTTTGCGATGTGGGAAATGTATAGACAGTGAGTTCCAAGAGACATTTCTTCTGGAGAATCTTTGTCGTGACTGTGTCAAGTATGAAGATTCACCCCCCACAGAAAAATAGATGTTCAATTCTGTTATATCCATTGGATGTATACAGTTTTAACATAGCATTTCTTCTGTTGATTGATGCTCCCATCCATCAGTCATCTTGACTGAGTATTTCTAACAAGGAAAAGAAAAAAAAAAAGAGAAAGGTATACCGGTTTGCTATTGGTGTAGGTGCAGCAGCTGATATATTGTTTTTGCTTGCAAGAAAAAGGAAAAAAAAGTATAACCCAGAAAATCAGAAGATGAAAGTCTGGTTTCCCTATCAAGGTGTCAGCAGTGAATGGTGACAACTGACAATTGCGGTAGGTGATGTTATACTTCTAATAATATTATTTTGGTCCTTAGAGCAATTTTGTACTAGCTCAGTTAGCATGAAACTAGAATGCTGCTCTCCAAACCGGGCCTCAGTTTTTTTGCTGAGTCTTTGCTTGTACTGTTGTTTCAGGGATGTTTCCTTTTGGAATAATGAAGTGCTCTGCTCAGGAGTGTTGAAGTACAACAGTTCATTTTTTTCCAGCCGGTTGCTTGATGCTGCATGTTCCTGGAACATCAGAAGTAATTGATTTCATTGGCCCCTAAATAGAATCAGATGTATATATCTGTCCAATGTTACCTATCTACCTGTGTGGCTGCGTGCTATGTTACTCGACGATTGGCAAATGTAATGGTTACTGTCTGGGTTGTGGAAACGTTGTACCACCTAATTTATTAGAATAAATAAAGACAAAACATCTAACTTAGCTAGATTCTTTCGCGCCTGCAGGTGCTCAGGTGCCTGTTTTTGCCAGGTATTTCAGTTTTTTTTTCTTTTTTTCTGGTGGCTATATCTGTTATTCCGTTCTGGCAAGTCTGGGTACTGGGTCCATTTTGGGCTGGTGACTGGTGAGCGAAATAAATGGCCATCCTTTGCTAGTGCTGATGAAAGCTGAAACAAAGCATGCGGGAGGCTGCGTCCCCCTTTATAGTTCTTTGCTCTCTGCGGTCATGTTTTCATGCTACTGAGTGCTGCCTTCCTCCTGGAACCAAGTGTCTGGTGCCGTTCTTCTGGGCAGAAAAGACGCATGGTCGCTTAAAACAGCGCAATATCCGCAGGACATCTGGATTCTGGAATGCAATAGGTGCCTTTCTGGTCATGGATTGTGGAACAGTGGCGCGAGCACTGTTGTTTTAATTATAGACAGACCACAAATATGCTGAATCAACAAACTTCTGGACTGCTGGTCGTTCGTGACCACATGGCTTAAGATCCACAAAACTGACTGGAGAGCACTGCTGCCTGCTGTTGATACATACTGCAAACTTGCTGAACCAAACTAGTGCTGGTCGCTTCCGACCACATGGCATCCACAGAATGACCGAGCCGAGGGTAGTGGCATGCTGCGCTATAATCAGAAAGCCGCGTTACCGAGCGCATGGTTTACCTGCCTTGGTTTGGAGTTTTGAACAGGTCCCGCCGCCTGTATGTTCTTGACCGGGGCACCGGGTTATGTTAGGCCCTGGCCTGCCAAGCGAGGTGCCGGCCACATGAGGCGTGGATGATTTCAGACAGGCTTGCTTGCCCCACAGGCAAGGCCAGACAAGGATTCCTGAGAGTTCGGAAGTCGGAAGCAACAGCCAACAGGCAGTGGCGGAGCTAGCGCTGGGCCAAACGGCTCGGACCTCAAGAATGTACTGTTGTGGGCTAGCATGGCATCATGAGCTGCCAGATAGCTAGCAAGCATGTATGCAGCAAACATCTAGTCAGTTAAGCAGTAATACACAAAACAACCATGCATGCAGCCATGCAGAGTGTGGAAATATGTATGCACTTGCACATGACGATCCTTGGATCTTGATGCACGGCAGGGGGGCTCTTTGGCCCTAACGTAGCTCCGCCGTTGCCAACAGGCACAGGCAGGTGGGATATATAAGACGAGCAGTCCGTTTTGTCGTTTTCGACTTCCAGGACGGAGGGAATGAGAATATCCAGGAAGCAGGCAATCGCTGTCTGATTCGGTGACTTGTCCTTCGCGTACAAGGGAAAGCAAAGCCCAACCCAAAAGCATTGCAATTTACAATGAGCACGAGGCAGGAAATCCCTGGTGCCACGACACAGCTTGGTATCCATATGTTAGAAGGATCATTGGACTTGTATTTGGCCGACCCACCAAATCCATTATCTGAGCTAACCTTCTAAGTTCTAATCTGAAACCTTTCCAGATTCCATAGTTTCAGCGAATGCAAATGCATCAAATCTGATGAACGCACAAAACGATCACAAGACATGTGAGTGGTCGTTGTAAAAAAAAGGACATGTGTGTGGAAGATTATACTCTTTATTAAACAGAACAAAAAAAAAAGAACAGGACGCTTGGAAGGTAACGAATTCATGAGTTAAATTAAAGAATAGTCATAACATAGTGTACAATCACCGGCAGAACTTCTCATTTGAAGAATTCTACATGGCCACCAACATCCATACACAATAGCTTGGCCTCGGAGGCCAGCTTCCTGCTCCTATACAGCACCAGGTTCGTGAGCCGGTGCTTGGGCTGAGGCTCGAAGGACCTCGCCTCGTCGTCCTTCCCCAGGAGCGCCAGCTCCCGTGCAGGCATCACGCTGCCCCACCAGAAGTCACGCAGCACCTCGTGGATGAGCTCCCAGTATGCACGGTCCCGCGGCACCCGGAACAGGCTGCTCCCATTGGGCGTCCAGCAGTAGAGCTCCACCCAGTCCCTGCCCATGATTTCCATCAGGCCCTGCACCTGCGGCATGTAGTAGTACGGCATGGCGCGCCAGGGCAGAGCGAGCTCGGGCTTGCCCTTGTTGAACGGACACTTGACTTCCAGGATCCCGCCGTCCGGTTCGCACCCAAGGACTCCATCAGGCGAAGCTCCAAGCCATCCGGATTTGGCCTCGGTGTGCACCGCGAAGCCAAGGGTGCCCACCAGTCTTCCTGTGATGCTTGTGTACTGCTCTATGGCTACGCTTTCATGATGCGTGCCCCAGTCCATGGCAGACCTAGCAGTATCCGCCAGCTTGATCTCTGTTGCTCCAAAGACTTTCTCATTCCACAGCTCTGCTCTTCTGTTGCCAGCCCAGAAACCCAAAGCAGTACTGAAGGTGCTTGTGGTGAGCCTGTCCTTGCGAAGAGCAAACCATTCCTCTGAACGTTGGGCTACGTCAGAGGAGGTGAGCTGGGAGGACACCATGAGAGCTGAAGATGGTGATAGATTTAACAGAGATGACCGGCTATAGATCTGGAGCGATGAACTGGAGCAGCTACGAGGAATATAGCCTTCAAAGTTCCGTCTTGATGGCAAGAATGCAGACGGAGTTAAACATACGCGAGAAGTTGAAGAAGAGGCCGCTGGAATTTGCAGGAATGTCCTAAACAAACGAGGAACTGCTCAATGGTTAGAAAGCTTGTCAATGATGTTGTAGTCTGGATAAGTATGACATATCTTAACAAAGCTGAGAAGTTAATCTTGGAAAGCATGTAGGAAGTACCCAACAAGAATGGCTAACCTCAGAATGCGCAATACATGACAATAGTATGCTTCATTTATATGAAGAGCTTGCTTCACTTCTTGAATGAAGCAGGGGTAGAATATTGCAAGCAAGGGTTTATACCTTACCCAATTTCAGCAAGAAGACATTGCTTGGGACAAGTAAATATTAGAGAGAGCTAGCTAAAGAGATCCCAGCCTCTCAAGCAATGATGTTCACTACAAAGAAGCAAACTCTAGCAAGTGAACAACGACACCATGCAAACCTCTACAACCTCCCAACCAGCACGCAAATTGATACAATCTCTCAACAAGCATGTAAAATGCTATGCCTATGATGTATATCATGTATTGATGTTCCAAACAGATAAGAACAATCAAAAACAAAGAAAACTACTTTTCCCGCCTCAATTTTTCTGTACGTGTACCTAAGCATTTTCCAAGTTCAAAGTGTGTTGCATTTATCAGGCAAGTCAGCCAAGTTTCACTTTGAGGTCAACCATCATATATGCTATTTTGTTCCATCTATTTTGATGCAATCCAGATGACAATGGAACCAAAAGTTGCCATAAATTTAATTCCTCACTCTCCTTAAATCAAAGGTTCATAGTTAATCAAATAAAGCTAAATCACATGACTGAATAAAGGCTAAGTGTTAATAAGTCCAATTCCAGGATTGATGGCAGGTACAGATTACCAAAATAGTAAGAACAGTTAGTTGCGGGGGGTGGGGGTGGGGGTGGGGGTGTAAGGTTTAAGGGAGTGTCAACTGGCCAACAATAAAACACGACGAAATAGATGAGTTGAATTCATTTGGTGCACCTGTGAGCAAACAAACCTACATTACACGGAGGGCAAACTTATGAACACCGAAATCTTATGATCCTATTCTCTCTTATTTCTCCCTGTCTCTTCGATTCTTACCATTTCAGACACACCAAATCTTTATTCAAAAGGAAAAGCTTTGACGTAAGTTTTATTTGAAAGAGAAAACGAAAACATGTGCTCGCTCAGTTTTTTTTTTAAGAAAACAAGACACGAAAACCCAACATAGAGGGGTGCGCCGCACAAACCCAAAAACATCGAGCAACCCAACTCAACTGATAAGGAAGATTCAACATACTCTGGACTCCTGGGGTAGCCTGGTTAAGTACAGTAATAATTAGTAGCATTTCTTACTTTTGTAGTTGCGAGCTAGACTGAAGCTTGCTCCCATTCTTGAACACCCACTGTCCTTTTGTGCCACAAAAAGATACTACTGTCCTAAACCCGCAATATCTCATCAAAACTAAAGGGCCATTGAACAACACACGCAAACAATCCAATGATGCTACCACTGGCCAAATACCAAATGATAATCCAGCGGACAAATGAGGCAGCTCCAAAAGGGCAACAAGCTTATCTGTAGACGGGGTCAAACCAAGAAAAGGCTCCAATTTCAGTACCTGAAGCGGCACCACAGGTGGGCGCAGAAGCAGACGCGGCCGAGCGCCGCGCTGGCCTCCGGGCGGCCGCGGCCACGGGCCGCGCGCGGAGTTCCGCGGCCAGGGTCGGCAGGCGCCGCTGCGGCACGTGGTCGAACACATGGCGCGCATCCAGCAGCGTGGCGCTGGTGCGGCGTCGCGAGTAGCAGTGCGGAGGTGGTGTGTTCACGGCCGCTCTCATGCTGCGCGCCCCTTTTTCGAGAGCTTCGCAAACACGCGACGGCGGTTTCGGCCTCGGCGCGGCGGCGACCATTCAGCGGGACGGAGAAGCAGCGCAGCCCAGTGTCTGCGTCCAGATATTTGGGTTTCGTTTCGTTCTCCCTCAGACCCTGCCCCCCGCAAAAGTCCCCTAATCCTTTCCCTGACAGCCACGCAGGACCGTCCGATATAACGGGGTGTTTTATTTCACCTCCTCTGAGCTTTATTCGCTGTTCTATCAGATATTTAGATACCTAGAGTATTAAATATAGACTAATTATGAAACTAGATGCACAGATTGAAACTGTTTTACTAGACGAATTTTTTAAGTCTAATTAGTCCACGATTTGATAATGTTGTGCTACAGTACATATGTGCTAATGAAGGATTAGTTAGGTTTAATATATTCGCCTCGCGGATTACTGACGAATTATGTAATTTATTTTTTTATTATCATCCGAACACACCTCCTAAATTTTAGTCCCTACATCCAAACACCCCCTAAATCCGACGGCCGGGGTGCTCCCAAGCCCAAGCGTTCAGTGTACAATGATTGTAACCTAACTAAATGCCCTTTTGCAATAATTTGTCGGTAATTATGGGAAGCGAGCGTGCTGGGCGCTCTCCACCACACCACCTTCTCCATCGCGCCTCCACTCTGCCGACCGGCATCTCCATCGCACCCAAGCGCGGAGGCCGCTCTTCCTCCCGCTCTGTCGACCGGCATCTCCCTCTCCACTGCGTCTCCCGCCCGCCCTGGCCTTTTCCACCAGGCCTGCCGTGGCCTTTTCCACCGAAGCGACGAGGTCCGCGCCACCGGCAAGCTCTACACCGGTGAACTCCATGTGCCGACATACCTCTATTCGCAAGCATCAAGATGTTGCGCTGAAATAGCATGTTGCGAGCCTATGTTTCAAGTGTTTCAAATATTTCATAAGTATGTTGCAAAGGGTTTCATATGTATATTGCAAAAGTAGATCAGGATGTTGCTATGGTTGTACACGTATGTTGCAAGCTTATGTTCCTAATGTTTTATCTGTTTTTTATGTTGCAAGTATGTTTATTTGATGCTGCATATGTTTCACGCATATGTTGCAAGTGTTTTATCTTGATGTTTTGTATGTTTTACAATGATTTTAAATGTTTTTTCAGGTGTTTTTAAGTGTTTCAGATGCATGCTTTAAGTGTTTCATCGTTTTCAAACGTATGTTGCAAGCGTTAATCTGGATGTTTTAACAATAGATCGAGTGTTGCATCTCACTCCTCACCTTCTGTTGTCTCGCTTTGGTTCTCCTCCTCCTCTCGGCACCGGCTAGGCAGCTGAACCAGAGGCGTAGGCAGGCGCTGCCCCCTCCCCCTCTTCTCGATGCTGGTGATGTTCGGGGCGGCACGGGCCCGCTGAGGCGCGTGAAATAGAGTGCAAGCGCTGACGTCCGGACCGGACTGTAACCATGGTTATTAGGACCGGACCGGAGATCGAACCGGCGAAGCCGTCGGTTCACTGGTTCACTGGTCCAACCGTTTAGAACCGGTTGAACCGCCGGTTCAATTGTTTTGGATCGGACAAATTGAACCGGCCACAAAAACTCTGAACCGGTATATATATGCTATAATTAATAATTAACAGATGATAAACAACACAAATTTAATTGCACAACTATAAGGTTCATACATATGTATATATAGAATGACATGTTCTTAATTCAAATTAGCAACATATGATTGATCATATATACAAATAAACTAATAAAAACACAATTATATAACCACCTTTGAAATAATCTAGCCACAAGTCCACAACAGGTACTCCAAAATCAACATTTGTCTGTTGACGGTTCTTAACTCAAATGATCAAATTGTTAAAAGATAATAAACAACAACATCCCATAATGCATCGTAGCAAGATAAACCTTAACTTGACAGGTTCTAAAAAAGGATTTAAATAGTAATTCAAATATTCAGTGTTGGAAAATAATTTCAATGCTGAGATAAAGTGTACCATTGTGAAGAGCTCGTCGAGATAATCAAAATAGATATATTATTTATATATTTTAGAGCTAGAATGAAAAAGATATTAAATTTTGAAATTAATAAAAAAGCATCCAAAGTTGATCAACAATAAAAACATAAAGCACGGGACTTGGCAGGCAGGTACTATACGCACGCACACAGCACGCTCAAACACGCTAGGCCAGCAGAAAGCGGATAGTGAAAGGCTCGAAGCCAGCGCGCCGATTGCTCACTCACGCTCAGGATACCAGAGGAAGCAAAGACGCGCACCACCAGGCGAGATTACCAAATCGGGACAGTTCAGACGGAACCGGCCGGTTCACTGGTTCCGTAAAAAACCGGCCGGTTCAACCGGTTTTTAGCGGTTCGATTGCATAGACGGTCTTTTAAGTGAACCGGACCTGTCTAGGCTCTGGTTCGGTCTTTTAGCGGGCGAACCGCCAGTCTGGTTCGGTCCTAATAACTAGGACTGTAACACCCTCGGTGTTACGCCCTAAACAAACTACTAAATCATGTCATGAGCATCGTGTTTATGTAATAATGCATGTGATAGAAGGTGTTGATAAATTTTTTGTAGCCTAAAATGACCAATAAAAATATTAAATGGAAATTTATTCGATAACTCATGTTATGTCAAGTAGGGTGGAAGACCAATTTTTATTGAACAAAAGTATTATAGAATATGTGTGTCACACCTAAATAAGGTTTGAAGTATATACTTTGTAGATGACAATGCAATTTTTGCTGTAGAAAAATCATATGACTAGCTAGTATTTCTAATGGCTTGAAAATGGAACTTGAAGTCAAATTCAGCTCAAGACTTGAAAGAAATTTTAAGTTTGAAAATAGTGTGACAATACTATGTTGGTGAATTAATTCTGAAGAATCCAGCTAAAAGTCAATGCTGTGTTTTTGCTCCTTATGGTAGACTGATGTACCATCGTTAGCATGGTCGAGATAGTTTAGCTTCAACTGTGTTAGGTTAGTTTTTAGACGCGCTTTAAAATTCATGCACATCATCTGCCTGGCCTGTGCGCACGGTCACCTTGCGCGGCCCCTCAGCGTCGCGTGGTTGGCCGCGTTCCGCGTGGCACGGTGCCAATGCCCGGACGGCCTGTATGACCGTGGGTTGGCCGTGACCGGCCCAGCGGGCCGCTGTCGTCGCCCTACAGTTAATGGCCGTCGCGTTGCTGCCCCACCTTGCTATCGTGCTGCTGCGCGCATCGCTGCGCTGTGCCGAAGGGCTGCCACTATCGAAAGCTCTAGTTTGGTTTTGGTGAATTGATGAAACCCTAAGTGCTAACCTAGTTTATCAAAGTAATTATGAGATAGGTAGCACTACTCCAAGTGGTGAAGCAAATAAAGATCATGATATGATGATGGTGTTGCTATGGTGATAATCAAGTGCTTAGACTTGGAAAAGAAGAAAGAAAAATGAAAGGTTCAAGACAAAGGTATAAATGGCAGGAACCATTTTGTTTTGGTGATCAAGCCACTTAGCGAGTGTGATCATATTTAGGTTCGATAGCCGTACTATTAAGAGGGGTGAAACTCGTATCGAAATGCGGTTATCAAAGTGCCACTAGATGCTCTAACTCTTTGTATATGCATTTAGGATATAGTGGAGTGCTAATACCCTTGAAAATATTTGTGAAAATATGCTAACACATGTGGACAAGGTGATACACATGGTGGTTGGCACATTTGAGCAAGGGTGAAGAAGATAGAGTTGAAAATGAGTTAGTCGCGCTGGTCACAGAGTGACCGGACGCGTCCGGTCGCGTCCGGTGTGTGGCTCGGTACTGAATTGCAGAGAGCGACTAGACGCGTCCGGTCGCCATCCGGTGTGAATCAGTGAAGTTGATGTTCAGTGTAACAGTTGATCGAACGCTGGGAGCGTCCGGTCTGGAGTGACCGGATGCGTCCGATAGGGCCTGGGTGCTTACTGGACTCGACCGGACGCTGAGGCTTAGCGTCCGGTCATTTTCTAACGGTGCGTCCAGTCGGCCCTGGGTGTGGCTCAGCGTCCGGTCATTTTTAACTGAGCGTCCGATCGTAGGTGGATGTGTGGCAGCAACGGCTACTTTAGTTTGAATTGGACACGGTGCGTCCGGTCAACACTACCTGCGCGTCCGGTCGATGCGTAGTCTGCCCAATAATTGAGCCAATGACTCTATTGATTAGGGGTGTCTATAAATACCGTTTGGCCGGCTTTAGCTCACTTTCTTTGGCCATTTTGCATTGACATAGCAACCTTGTGAGCTTAGCCAAAGTCTTCCCACTCATCTCCATCATTGATTCATCATCTTTGTGAGATTGGGAGAGAATCCAAGTGCATTGCTTGAGTGTTTGCATCTAGAGGCAATTGGTGTTCGTGTTTCGCTGTGGGATTCGCCTGTTACTCTTGGTGGTTGCCGCCACCTAGATGGCTTGGAGCAGCGATGATTGTTGAGCGAAGGTTGGTAATTGTCTCCGGCTTCGATCAAGGTGATTGTGAGGGGTTCTTGACCTTTCCCTGGTGGAGAGGTGAAAGGTCCTACTATGGCTAGAGGGGGGGTGAATAGCATATTTAAAAATCTACAAACCAACTAGAGCAAATTGATTAGTATGACAAATAACAAAATGCAAACTTGCTCTAGCTCTACAAGGGTTGCAAGCCACCTATCCAACAATTCTAGTTGCAATGATTGCTAGTCACACAACTTGCTATGATACTACTCACTAAGAGCTCTCAACCTTGTTACTCTAAAGAGCTCCACTGGATGAACTTAATTAGCAAAGCAAGCTCTCAATTCTAATTACACTAAAGAGCTTGCCATAATTAGTTTGCAAGAATATAAATGAGTGAGTAGAATGATTATACCACCGTGTAGAGGAGTGAACCAATCACAAGATGAATATTAAACCAATCACCGAGAGAATACCAAATGGTAAGAGACAACCGATTTTCTCCCGAGGTTCACGTGCTTGCCAACACGCTACGTCCCTGTTGTGTCGACCAACACTTGGTGGTTCGGCGGCTAAGAGGTGTTGCACAAACCTCAT